GCGGCCAAAATTATATTAATAAAAAATTTCTATTTTGAGCAAAAATCGGGCGTTACTTTTGTTGGCTACTGTACATACGCACATACAATAACGACGATAATTTAACCAATCAACTAAAATATTTTTATATGTGCAGACCGGATGTCGATTTAATTCGGGTTTAAATTCGAAGCACCTGATCTTGAAATCCGATTGGTCAAATTTACTGGAGTTTGTTACTTGACTGGTTAGAACATGACTTTGTTGATAACAAACGAACCTGTGTAGGCAATAAGTAAATTATCCAATAAAAATTTTTTGAGACAATACCGTAAAACTCATCCCAATAATAAAATTTAAATTTCATCAAATAAACTTTAATTTTACGTTCCGGTGATCATTAGATTGATCAGTCACTATCACAGGAATCTGCATGTTATCGATTTTCAAATAGCTAGTGAATAAGCACCCCCCAATTAAAAAATGGTGCTTATTTTCCAAGTTTCTAAGTTTTAAGTCAATCAAGAGTCGGCTAAAGCTTACAACATTAATTTTGAACTTTCATATGATTCTGCAATCAACGAGATACCATAAACAATAACGATAAAATCACATTCAAAAAAAACCGTAAAAGGAAAGACATATAAATCACAATTACGTATCAGCCTTTGAGATCATTTGATCTCGCAATGATGATTGTCTCGTCACTTCGCTGATAAATTTATCAAATTTAATAAATATCTGCTCCAAAATAGCGAAACCCTCAGAAGTTATCAAAATAATACGCAAATTTATTTGAAATTACTCTGTACGTTCGTACATCATCACCACTATATTTACTTGGTCCAGTAAATTCAAATATTCCATACAAGACAATAATATTCTTGAGAATATGAACTTGAGAAAGGAAGCACGACAATATTTTAGACAAGGCCAATTTTTCGAAGCATTAGAACTTTTTGAAGAAATCATCGAAAACCATTTGTATAATGCTGAGGATCAAAAAATTGCTTCAACGTGGGATCTTTCTGGAAAATGTGGATTGGAAAATTTAAGTAATTTAATAAAGGCACTTCGCAAGAACTCCACGTTGACTTCTTTGGATCTTAGTTTCAATGCACTTGAATTAGAAGGCGGAAAAGCATTAGCAAATGTACTTTGCGAGAATACCATGTTGACTTCTTTGGAATTTAGAGAAAATGATCTTGGATCAGTGGGGGGAAAAGCATTTGCAAGTGCATTATGCAAGAATACTACACTGACTTCTTTAAATCTTGATGAAAATGATCTTGGATCAAGAGGGGGGAAAGCGTTAGCAGATGCGCTTTGTAAGAACATCTCGCTAACTTCTTTGAGTCTTGAGCGTAATAACATTGGACCAGAAGGGGGGAGAGCATTAGCAAATGCACTTTGCAAGAACAATGCTCTGAAAGATTTGTATCTTAACTTTAATAATCTTGGATTAGAAGGGGGGTTAGGATTGGCGTATGCACTTTACAAAAACACAGCGCTGACATCTTTAGATCTTACTCATAATAATCTTGGATCAGAAGGAGTAAAAGCATTAGCAAATGCACTTTGCGAAAACACCACACTGATTTCTTTGGATCTTAGTGGAAATGAAATTGGATTAAAAGAAGGCAAAGAGTTGGCAAATGCACTTCGCAAGAACACCATTCTAACTTCTTTACATCTTAATTATAATAATCTTGGATCAGAAGGAGTAAAAGAATTAGCAAGCGCGCTCTACGAGAATACTACGCTTACTTCTTTGAATCTTGTTGGGAATTATATTGGGTCAGAAGGAGGAAAAGCGTTAGCAAATGTACTTGGCAATAATATCACACTGACTTATCTAGGTCTTAGCGAAAATAAACTTGGATCAGAAGGTGTAAAAATATTAGCAAATGCACTTTGCAAGAACACCGCGCTGACTTTTTTGGGTCTTTGCGACAATCAAATGGGATCAGAAGGTGGAAAAGCATTAGCGAATGCACTTTGCAAGAACAATACTTTGAAAGATTTGTATCTTAGTTATAATAATTTTGGATTCGAAGGGGGAAAAGCATTAGCAGATTCACTTTGCAAGAACAATAGTCTAAGAGATTTGAACATCCAAAAGAATAATCTTGGATCAAAAGGAGGAAAAGCAGTTGCAAATGCACTTTGCAAAAATACCACGCTGACTTCTTTAAATCTTGATGAGAATAATCTTGGAGCAGAAGGTGGAAAAGCATTAGCAAGTGCACTTTGTAAGAACACTACGTTGACTGAATTGATGCTTGGAGAGAATAATATTGGATTAGAAGGAGGCAAAGCATTAGCAGACGCACTCTGTGAGAACGCCACGTTGACTTTTTTGATTCTTCAAAATAATGAACTTGGATTAGGAGGAGGAAAAGCATTAGCGAATGCACTTTGCCAGAATACGACCTTGACTTATTTGGATATTTGGGGTAATAATATTGGTTCAGAAGGAGGAAAATTATTAGCAAATGCACTTTACAATAATATCACTCTAACTTCTATGAACTATTGGAATAATGATTTTGGATTAGAAGGAGAAAAGGCATTGGAAGATGCACTTTACGAGAATTCTACATTGAATTTTTATTCTTGATTAAAATTCTCTTGAATCAAAAGAAGCAAAAACATTAGTAAATGCACTATATAAGAACAATACTCTGAAAATTTATCTTGTTAATTAAATACTAATAAAATGATGGCGTCTTAAGCTGGGCCTTAATTATTAGCCTTTAAGCTTTGGATTGCCCTTAACTTTAATAAGATCAGCATGCTTTCTATTATAAATTTTGGTTTAATATCCTAATCTATAAAAAAAAATAAATAAATAAAGATTTGTACGAACTCTTGAACTTTAAACCAAAGGTACTTAGCAAGTTTCTAAAATAATTTGTGGCAACGTAATTTATTATTATTACTGTAACAATGGAACTCGGAGAATTCTACTGCGTCACTAATTGGAGATTTTACTGCATCACTTGTTCCGAATTTTTTGGTTTGAGTCTAAACTACGGGCAATTACGGAAGTTGTCGAAAATCTTGGAAATTTACATATAGACGAAACTAGTATCACCTAGATTTCAGACGAAATATTTCAGTTTCGCTCAAACTTTAGTTGCAATTTCTAATGTTTCAGGCGAAATATTTTTTTTTTTATTCCGAAATATTATTGAAATTATCAAACAAAAAATAGAAAAATAATTTTTTCTTTAACGTAGCAAATGGTCCTTTGCCCACAACTGTTTTTTTTTAGAAACTATACATCAAGAAGTAATTATTACGCATAACATTGATTAACTAATAAAATATCAGAAAACAGTTATTTTCTCGATGGCTAATGCGAAATTAGGCAATAAAATGAAATTTTAAATGTTCATTTACTATACTCTCAAAATCGATTCTATCAAATTCGGTAACCTGACAAAATTGATAGAAATTAATCTAACAAGTTCGTTCCCACTATATACAGTAAATCTAATAGTTTACAATGTTTTCAAAATCTGATAACTTTTCAATACGAATACAACTCTATTTACCATGCATTTCGGTTCTAAGAGGTTCAACAGTATTTAAAGCAATTCTTTTATTGGGACACTTGAAGAACAAAGAACCCAGTGAACATCACATTACACGAAATCATAGCACTAAACAAATTAGCCTAAACTAATCTGTCGCCTAACCCTAACGCTAACCCAACGTAGCCCCTGTATTACCAAAAGTATATACGTACGTACGTACGTGTACGATATTTGATATTAACTTAGGATACACTTCACTTCACATATAACGCATGAATCGTGTTATAAGAATTCATTTTAAATATATCAATTATTAAACATTTTATCTGATTCGATCATTATATTTTACTTACTAAGATAAAAAAAAGGTAGTCTAATTAATTATCATTATTTTAAAAAAACTTTTTTGATTGATAAAATTTTATCTCAAGCAAGTCGCAGGAGTGATATTTTCGTCATATTAAACGAAGTATCATGAATTAGACTCAGAAAGGTATTCAAATCGTTTAATTTATCAGTTACAGAACAATTCATGTAGAAGGTCGTCTAAAGCCAGATAGTTTCTTAAATTGATTACTAGCAAATTTGTAAATTAAAAATCATGTGATGCACACGTATAAATTACGGCTTTAGACGATCCCTTATGGAGGAAATATATTCAAATATTACATTTACTGGTAATATACGTAAACCGAATTCAAAATTACATATATAACGAATTCTTTACTCGAATTGTTGCCACATAAAAAAAATTTTTTTTATGGCTTCCTAATTTTTTTTTTTTTTTATATTAATGAAGTTAAAATCATCTATGTTGGAAGGTCGTGTAAGTATAGGAATATGTGAACTATATGAACTTATCATTTTATTTGAATAATAATATAGTTTCATCATCTGCTCTAATGTATTAGCCACAATGCATAATCGCAATTGGAAAAACTGGCAACGGAAAAAGCTTTACAGGAACTATTTTTGGTGCACGAGATGCGATAGTCGGAAATTCGTCAAGCTCTCAAACAACCAAAGTTACAGTTTATGATATCGGTGATAGCAACTTTTACGTTGATACTCCAGGTTTTGATGATTCTGATGAGGCCAAGAGCGATGATGATATTGCGCGTTTGATTTTTCGTACTCTTTTGGATGAAGAGATATATAGTATAACAACGATCTTATGGTTTGTAGCGACCGGCATCAAAGCAACAGCTTCGTTTAAAAGAGAAGCGAGGTTTATAGAATCACTAGCAAAAGATCATGATGGCAATGTTTGGGACAATACTATAATAGTTACTAAAGGTGACAAAATTGAAAATGGCCCTCGAGAAGCAGCTAAAGAAATAGCAAAGAGTGAATATGACATGAAAAAAAAAAGAAGTAGTCAATTGCCAGATAAAAATGATTTGCTCATAAAAACTCGTGACTTTGCGATTCTATTATTTGAAAGCCTTGAGAGTACAAGTGTTTATGTTGAAAATAAGTTTACAAGCGATCATTTAAATAAATACAACATATTTAAAAGATCTGAACCTGATCGAATTCTTGCAAAATATAATGCACTAATGAAAGAACATCCTGCGAACCCGATAAAAATAAATTTCAGAAAAGTAAAATGTTCGAATTGTCCTGAAGAAACTGATCCAAGATTAGCGATTCCAGAGTGCCATTTAGAAGCAGAATCGTTTCATTCAGAGACAACTAAAACTCATTTACATAATATTATACGCGCACACCCGAACATTCTTGAAGAATATCATCCCGATTCTTTAAAAACTTACCATCCTGGTTCTAATATGTTTGTACATACTGATACACCTATCGACAGTCAAGTCAATTTTGTTCAGTGTGTTATTCGTTTTACTACATTAGGGATTATTAACCCTATGACTCCCGGATACTGGAAATGCTGTGAAAAAGACCTGAGCTCACGCGGATGTATGAAAGTTTATTCCTGCTGCAAAAAATATAATGATGGTTGTTGTAACAAATATAAGTGTTGTGATGGAAATATTTACAGCAAAGGGTGTAAAAAACGATATCGTTGCTGCAATGGATTTCGCGCAAGTGAAGGATGTCAATATATATATGACGTGTGCAAGCATAAAGCTGGAGAACAACCTTGTTGTACTATTTGCAAAGACTGTAATCAAACATTAGACAAAAATGGGTGTAAAATGAGATGCAGAAATTGCAAAGGATCTCAAAGCATGAAAGGGTGTATCAAAACAGAACATACTTTTAATTTCTCTTAGTTTTAGATTTTCTTCTGTACATAATCAATATGCAATAATATATGTGTTTTTTTTTAGATTATTTTTTAACACAAACTAATATTCGAGACAGTATGGTCTAATGTTTTTGTACTATTGTTCAATAAAAATTGTATTAAATATTTTAAATTCGTTTTAAACTATGGAATTGTCTTTTTAAAATTCACATTGTTATTATTTATTAATAGAATACAAAATTTTGGTAAAAGCATATTATATTCAAATGGAAAAATTCAGAATAACTTCAGTAGTCATATTTGTAGCATTACGTTTGATCTCTTGAAATATAGATAACTATTATATAACGCATTATTAAAATTTATTATTGGTGCATCTCTCGCGGGAGACGTATCTCACATTTGTTAGCCAATAGCCGCAATTTATTTAACATAACACGATCAGGAAAGTTCAAAAACAACCGTCTGTTTGAAAAAAAAGTTGGATCTTTTACAAAAAGAAACGCATAAGTAACCTCTTTTCGTGCTCTGACAGAAGTATTTCTCGAGAAAATTTACTATTTCTCTCTAACCCTAATATAAACAATCCCCAACATAAACAAAATTTAAGGAGATGCGTCTCCCACGAGAGATGCCTATGAATTTCTCATTTATTATAGAATAAAAATATATAAATTAATTACAAAATTATAATTTAAATTTTTTTTTAATTTTACATACATTTTGATACACAGATATATTAATTAACACTTGAGTCAGGTTTCTTTTGATTTACATACAACTTTATAGCGAACTGATAATTCTGAAGGAAGAGTTCATTTTATGACTCTACAACAATTACTCTACTTAGCTAATATAATCAAAAAATTTACGCTTATTATAACGACACTTTACAGAGTCGATCGTATATCGATCGTACCTGTACTAAGCATCTGATCATGTACGCACATATATGCGCAATAAATTTACTAGTCAAAATGTATTAAATATTTTATAATAATCATTGTTGAATTATAATCTAATACATAAATGATTAGTAATAATTTTCTTTTTTTGAACCCGAAACACAATTGTTGCGGGACGCCGTTGGCGTTCTACACAATTTTCTATTTTAATTAATATCTTTCTAAATAATCGTTTCTTTTTTTTTGATTCTAACGTTAATCGTTACGGTATTTGTGCAGTGCTTGAACTGCCACGTACATACGTATATACCCAGGCGTCTGAAGTGTCTGAAGTTACGCCTGATTAAAATTAAGTCCCCGAAATTAGTGTCAGTTCTAGGTAAGTGGCACAACATTTACACTATGTCGATATTGACTATTATTTCTATATTCGGGAGACAAAAAAGCTTTGGATTCTAGATCATGTACGTACGTACATACATAAGCAGAATCATATTTGTGTGTTCTGCTGCAGGCATTTATTATTAATTACGCTTTATAATATCCAACTGTAATACTGTAATTCTTAGTCACGAGTTCAAAAATTGCTAGTCTATTTGAGAAATATTTTATTAACTATATGCTTTGTGTGCGTTGTTCAGAAATAGTTATTTGTAAAATTTCTGCATCCAGTGACCATAATCGGCAGTTAATCATCTATTGTGTTCGAATGCTTATTCATTATTGAATAATGTAGTACAACCTACAATAAAAATATTTAAGTTTCACGATTTTTAAAAATGCATTCTAATTTAGATTTTTAAAAAATTTTATTTTAAAATGTCTAATGAAGAAGAATTACAAAGCATTCATAATAACCTAACTTCAGAGTGTGAAATGGGTTTAAACTTATTTTTTACCAAAGTTTCTAATGATATTACCAATAGTTTACAGATATCACATTTATCTTTAGATGATATTAACCCGTCACAAAATTTTATAAATCAAAATATTAAAGAAATATGTAAGTTACACGAAGAAGAAGAAATAAAGGGAAATAATGCTATATCATTTCTTAACCTAATAGAACAAATTCTTATAAATAACCAACTAAAACCAGAGTATTTAATAAATTGGTGCCTAACTAATGAAACAAATCATATTATACAAAACATTCTTGGACATTGTTATCTACTTGGAAAATGGGTTAAAAAAGATAAACAAAAAGCATTTACTTATTATCAAAAATCTGCTGATATGGGAAGTCCAACTGGAACACATAATATTGGAAGTTGTTATTTACTTGAAATTGGTGTTGAAATAGATAAACAAAAAGCTTTCTCTTATTATCAAAAATCTGCTGATATGAAAAACCCTTTTGGAATAAATAGTCTTGGTGATTGTTATAGAGATGGAATTGGGACAAAAAAAGATGAACATAAAGCATTTACCTATTATAATAAATCGGTTGAATTAGGACATGCCCTCGGTATATATAATGTTGGTTATTGTTATCAAAACGGAATTGGTATCGAAAAAGATGAACGTAAGGCATTCGATTATTATCAAAAATCTGCTGATATGGGAAATTCCAATGGAATTATTTCACTTGCTCATTGTTATGAAAAAGGAATTGGGGTAAAAAAAGATAGACATAAAGCATTTATTTATTGTAAAAAATCTGCCGATACTGGCCATGCCGATGGAACATATAGCCTTGGTTATTATTATCAAAATGGAATTGGTGTCGAAAAAGATTTATCTAAAGCATTTATTTATTATCAAAAATCTGCTATGATGGGTGATGCTGAAGGAATGTCTTGGGTTGGCATTTGTTATAAAAATGGAACTGGAATTAAAAAAGATGAACATAAAGCATTTATAAATTTTCAAAAATCTGCTGATATGTGCAATTTTAGTGGATTATATTATCTTGGTTATTGCTATCAAAATGGAATTGGTGTTGAGAAGGATGAATTTAAGGCATTTACTTACTATCAAAAATCTGCTAAACTAGAGTATGCAGTTGGTATAAATCAAATTGGTTACTGTTATCAAAAAGGAATTGGAGTTGGAAGGGATGAATATAAAGCATTCGTTAATTATCAAAAATCCGCTGATATGGGCAATACTAGTGGGATATATAATCTTGGATATTGTTATCAAAATGGAATTGGAGTTGAAAGAGATAAGCAAAAGGCATTTACTAATTATCAAAAATCTGCCAATATGGGAAATATTAATGGAATATCTCAATTAGGTTACTGTTATCTTTATGGAGTTGGTGTTAAAATAGATGAAGATAAGGCATTTGATTATTTTCAAAAATCAGCAGAGTTAAAAATTACCAATAAAATATAAATATACATATTTCTACAGTAAAAATTATATATTATTAATACAGTTTTTACTATATATTTAAATACTGTACGTATAAAAATAATTTAATAAATTTCTATATTTGTTAGTAATCATGTGATTGCGAAAATAATTTCGTTAGATATTAACGATAGCCTTTTTTTTAGAATTTTAATGTCTTTATCACACATTTAGATGTTAAATATTTTAATTAAAAACCTAATTAGATTCATAAGTTAGTTAACAAATAAATAGGCGAAAAGTATATTCAACTATTATTTTGATATTCTGCGGTTTCAAAGATCACGATTTAATTAGTAATTCCTATGTAGTCGCGAAGTAACCTAATTTATACTTTCGAATATAAAGATACCAACTTAAATTTGATCTATGCAGCATATATAGCACCAATAATACATTAATACGTATTGTTTTTTGATACTTTTAAACTGAATTTAAGATTTATCTTATTCGGTGTCCGTTTTAGATGTTTTGAGTTTTTTCAAAGACATTATATATTCAGGAGAAGGTTTGGAAGCAGAGTATAATGGATTAGGTTTAGAAGGCTGTATGAATGGAATTGTGTTTGGTAGGGAAATATTATTGAGGTCGGAAAGTTGTTTTGGAGTAAGTCTAAATTATATTATGAGTTAATTAACAAAAAGGAACAAATACAATTTATAAAATAAAACATAAAAAATTCTACAATGCTATGCATACTTAAATTCCAATGCCCCTATGATCTCCTCCAAAAATTCCAAGTTTCTTGCAGCTGCTATTACTGAAGTGATTCCTGGCTGTTGAAGAGTCCAATTAATTGCAACCTATCAATTTATAAAAGCGTATTGGTATAAATGGCGAAAAAATTAATTCGTTAATATAAATACTTCGGAAGGTGTTCTTCCAGCTTCGTTGGCAACTTGAACAACTTCTTCAAGAATCCTCCAATTTTTCTCTTCCTTAGCATACTCAGTAACGGTCTTCTTAGTTGGAAAGTCGATATCAGAAGCAAGAAATTCTTTAGTATATCGGTTAGTTAAGAATCTATGTTTTAAAGAGAATACGAATAAAATTTGAAAAATAGTTTTTTAATAAATTAATAGAGGAAAAATTAGAAAGAATTACTCGAGAATAATATAACAATGTAGATAAATGACCCAGAAGAAATGATATTATATGGAACAACACCGATCTATTTTATATACAGTATAACGTTATTATAGTTGTCACTTGATTATACACTTATGAAGAAGAATTTAACCAACATTATGCTTCAAGCACATAGGCTGTAGATCGAACTCAAACGAACGATCGGTCATGCTATATTGCGTTGACAATGCGACAAATTGACTATTTGAATTGAAAAGTAAGATAAGTAATTAATGTATATAAAGTATTAGAACATACTCCACTTACCTCCACCCACGAAGGCGAGAGATCACATTTGCCTCGCTAACAACCCATGCTGGTGTATTATTTATTGCAATATATAGTACCTATTTGATATATATCATTTATATGCATATATATAAATTGCTCGGTGTACACACGTACCTTGCCACTTCGAACCACATCATCTAATCCACTTAACATGTTTTCAACACTATTATTGTAATCAATATGTGTGTACAAAATGTCAATATAACCAACTCCCAACCGTTTCAGACTAGCACTTAGATTTTCAATCAGACTTTTTCTGTTCGGACTGCCTTATAATTTTTGAAGGACGTGAAGATGTAAGTTTATCGTTATAAAAATAAGTGAGCTTAATTTAATTAATGTTCATGCTAACCCAAATTAGGGTCCTTTGAATCTTGAACCTTCGGATGAGCTAAAGATATTAACAGAATTAGAATAAAATTTTAATACGTAAAAAAATCATAAGAATAGTCAAGTGAAACCCACTTGTATATTTTGTAGAAACTATGACTTTTGAACGTTTTTCGGCTATATATTGTCCTAATATGCGTTCACTCTAGAAGCCATAATGGTGAAGTTATTTAAAAATCGTAGTAAATATTGCAAAACAAAGAATTTATATAACCGACTTCTCCATTTCCAAAATTTGAAGTATCTAAGATAGTGTTGAATTATTTATGATTTTCGGAATTTTAATCAAAGACAAATTATACTTGTTATTTATGATTAATAATTTTATTCAATACTTACCAAAAAAATTTCCACCAAGCTCATAATACTTATCAAATATTTGTTTAGACATTAAAATATCATCATCGGCCTTATCCTTTTCTCAAATGAAAAATTTTATGTTTTATAAACATTTGAATAAATCAAATCATAATATTCCTGAGTATAAAAACCTTACTTGCTGTCCAAATGTCTAATATAATTAAATGAAAGTAACCATTAATTAATTAATTTCAATTTTGAAAGTAAGACATCTACTTTCGTTCATTTATTACAATGTATTTTATCATTCTATATTTTCATTTTAACATATAAATAATAACTCTTTTAACTAAGAGTAATTTCTCATTTTGTCATATGCTTCAGACAGAATAATCAAATCATCGACTTAATATTAATTTTACCGATAAATAGACTAAAAAAGCAACTAATGATTAAATCGCAATAAAATAATAATTTACCATTGTTCCGAGGCATAATGGAGAGACTTTTAGTCCACTCAAACCTAGTGGAACGTAATTATTGATTGTAGTTAAAGCCTCTTGGGCCTGAGAAGTCTCGGTCATCATATAATTTTTATCGAAATTTTGTTCAAATTTTTAAGTTCTAACTCATTATTCATTTAACACTAATCTTAATATTTATTACTTGGTTGCACTTAGCATTAGAGGTGCAGGCATGTTGTGGTATTGCTACGTCAATGGCATCCACTTATTTGTAAACCTCTAAAAAGGAAATGGCCAATCGGAAAACGTAAAATGTGATGATCCCGGACCTCAGCCCGACACGTGAGCAAAGCGAAGAAAAACACTGAAAAAGAGAAAATACTCAAAAACTAGTGTTTAAATCGACC